AATATTTTCCCTTTATACAATGATTAAGTTATGTTCTGGCACTTCTACTGATTCAACTACTCCCACCTCTCGCAGGCTATGCCAACATTTGCTGAAAAGAGAGAAGAGGCAAGAGATTCGCAAGCAGGAACTTAAGTTATTCATCACAACTTTGTTATGTACCAAACAGGCAAATTCCTTCTAAACTTTGGGAATTGGGCTCTTACTTGAATTCCAATGGCATGGTTTTGAGGACCAATATTCCTACAAGATGTGTTTTCAGATAACTCCCACACTTTACTTCCCTCCTTCCGCCTTCCTCAATAGCTCTATTTCATCCTCTTTCCCACTCAGCCTGAGATTTACTAGGCTAATCCCCACAGACCACCTGCAAAGGAAGGAAAGTGTAATGTAAGATCTCATAAAAGCATGATCCCTTTCCTCAAAGAGCTTGCAATATGAATGGGGAGAGAGGCCCACACAGAAGACACAACCAGAGAGCCACATGAACCAAAGGACAACCACAGAACATGGAGCTGGTGACAAGCACAAGAGGAGACTCAGGACCAGTGCCTGACAGCCATGACAGCAGCCTTGTCATGCAGGCTGCTGCTGCTTCAGCTCCGTTTTGTTGAAAAGAGAAAACTATGAATAACTATAAAAGTACCAAGGCTGTAAAAATTACAAGTAGTAATATAAAAATATATATTTTTTAAAAAGTAAAAGTTCCCTTTACCCCAATCCATAGGAAGTCCTGCCCAATTCGGACATGCCCACCACTATTAGCTGTTCGTGTGTCAAGAAGCACATGTCAGATGGGGCAGCAGCTGACCCAAAGCAGGGGAGCAGAACCAGGACTCCCTGGAAATCGCATGCAGGCCACTCTGAATGGCACCTGTTTGGGAACTGCTAGAGATGAAGACGGCATGCGCACGGAGGGAGTCAGAAAGGTCTTCAGCAACAAGGAATCTTCATAGGTTCAATAGCAAATGGTTGTCACGAAGCAGAGGTCCAGGTAAAGCTGTGTGGCTGCACACAAGCACGTTCAGCACATCTCACCAGCAGAACTGGGGAGGAGGTTATGCATGGAGGGGCATTCTCATGGAAGATTCAATAAAACGTGGCAATTCCCAGGATTAGGCAGTGAAAGAAGGAAGGCAGTGAGATCACAGAGGAATGGCTGACAACAGTGCAAAGAGCAGGAAGGGCCGCAGCTGTGAGAATCTGCGAAGCCGATCTTTGACACGACGATTCTGAGAGCAGGTGAACAGCCAAATGTTCTCAGCTTCCCATGTTTAAAAATCATTCTCATCTTCTTAGCTGCTTTTTCACCAACTTTAAGCTCTTGCATAGCTAATGACATAATTTCTAACTGGTTTATTTTGGTTAGAGTAAGATAATATGACTAAACAACAAAAAAAGAAAATGCCTATGTAACTAAAGCTTTAAAATAAACTTGTTTTCAAAAAATATAGCAGTGGCTTATACTCTGTAAAATACCACAAATCTGCTGGTACACATAAGGTTTCTCCTCACTGCTTCTCCCATTATGAAATCTGAAAAGGGAAGCTGAGGTCATATGTACTTTATGTCCCCTTGACAACTTTAGGAGTGACCGCCAAGAGCCACGCCTCTGAAAGGGCATGAAGAACTTAAATACTGGAGGAAAGGGCACTGCATCCTCACATCCACCCTCATTTATCACATTTCAGCATCCGTCTTAAATCCTGAAAGTAAATCAAAAGGAAAGATTTAGAAGACTCAGTGGTTCTCAACTATCAGCGTTACCCTTTTGGATTTTCAAAATGGAGAAACGTCCAGCCCCACACCAGACCTACTGAATAATTAGCATTTCTGGAATTGAGGTGCTAGCATACATACACCTAAAAAAAAGCAAATATTAAAAAAGAACCCCAAAACCCTAAAGTCTACCTGATGTGCAGACAGGTGTAAGAACAACTTGCTTATGTGTAAATCTTTCCTTCCCCAGAAAAGTGGTTCCCAAACACAGGACAGGAGAAGGGCTTCGGGAAATGTGATCTCTTCCCATTTGTTCTGGAGCCCATGCTGTATCTGAACATAAACTGCTACACCAGGACATGGTTGCAACCACTTCTCATGGAAGAAAGATAAGTGATACTACTGGTGTTCCTGAGCCATAAAGAAATAGAATTCGTTTGCTCCTAGAAGTCTGCACAAGACACCAAGAGATGGCTGCTGTGGGCAACTTTAACAAGAAAGTGGCTCCCCGTCCCGGGGGCGCCGGGGCATCTGCAGACAGCAGAGCTCCTCCTCATCTCATTCTCAGCATGCACGTGCTTGTCCTGTTCCGTCGACTCTGTTTTACAAATGTGTCCTCGTTATTACTCACAAGGCTCCTTTCTCGAAATCTTAAACTCACAGCCATATCTTCTAACTTCTTAATTTTAATCAGCAAAAGAGATGTACTTATTGACATTACGAACCTTGGTTCCACGTCATCACAGCACCTACACTGCATACACTAACATCATCTCTGTACTGTGGCTGACGTGTTCAGCTGTATGTTCGCACTTTCGCAGCAAGGGCTTTATTAAATCTCCTTTGCGAAATGTTTGCAAAAGAGATGTCTCTGTCCTGTGCCTCTTTATTACTCTTTTTTCTGCCTTCTACCCCTATATCCCTCCCCGTCTGCCTGCCCCTGCTGATCAGGGACACTGGGGTTTTATGCTTGTGTTCAATTATTGGCAGAATTAGAATTTAGCAGCTTTCTTATCCACACATTAAAAACTGGACTAGGACCTTAACACTCTTTAGGATACAACCTGCTTAGGCTTTGCTGTGAACCTTGATATTTCTCTACTGATTCTACATTCGCGTAGTCTACACTCACTTTGCGTCTCTTTTAAAATAGCTTCCTGGAGATAAAATTCACATACCATACAATTCACTTACTTAAAGTACACAATGTAATAGGTTTTAGTATATCACAGAGTTGTGCTGAACCATTACATCAATTTTAAAACATTTTCATCTCCCTAAAAAGAAATCCCATACCCTTTAGCTATCACTCCTCAACCCCTGACAACCACTTACTTACCTACAGACTCATCCATTCTCATCATTTCACCTAAATGTAATCATATAATGTATGGTCTTCTGGGACCAGCTTCTTTCATTGAGCATCATGCTTTCAAGGCCCATCCATGTGGAGTACACGTCAGCACTTCATTCCTCTCTATGACTGAACAAAATTTCACATGTATGGACAGACCACATTTTGTTTATTTATCATCTGATGGACCTCTGGGTTGCTTCTACCTTTTGGGTATAATGCTGCTATGAACATATTAACGTTAGTGTGCTGGTTTGTGTGTGGACATTATGTTTTCATTTCTCTTGGGGGTATGTACCTATCTGATGGACCTCTGGGTTGCTTCTACCTTTTGGGTATAATGCTGCTATGAACATATGAACGTTAGTGTGCTGGTTTGTGTGTGGACATTATGTTTTCATTTCTCTTGGGGGTATGTACCTAGGAGTGGAACTGTTCGGCCAGATGGTGATACAGTTTGGATATACTTAGTCTGTCCAAAGGGCATGTTGAAATCTGATCCCCAGTGTGGCAGTGTTGGGAGGTATTTGGGTCACATGGTGGATCCCTCATGAACGGATTAATGCCCTCCCTGGGGGAGGGGGTGAATGAGCTCTCTGAGGAGTGGATGAGTCCCCGTGAGAGCCAGGAGCCTGGCCCACCCTCTTTCCTCCTGAGCTGTGTGATCTCTGCACCCAGCAGCACCCCTGCTGCTTTCCACCATGAGTAGAAGCAGCCTGAGGCTGGCACCAGATGCAGCTGTCCCAGAATCCTCAGCCAAATAAACCTCTGTTCTTTATAAATTATGCAGTCTCAGGTGTTCTAACATAGCAACACAAAAACGGACTAATACAGATGGCAACTCCAAGTTTAACTGTTTGAGGAACTTCCAGACTATTTTCTAAAGTGGCTGCACCCTTTTACAATCCCACCAGCAGCACATGCAGGTTCCAGTTCTTCCACATCCTTGGCAATACTTGTTACTGTCTGACTTTTGATTACTGCCATCCTAGTGGGTGTGAAGTTGCAACCTGTTTCTTGAACATGATGCTATTATAGTAAAGAGATTTTTCTTTTTTGCAATAAACTAGTTAACTGAATCAACAGACTCCTTAACACATTAAGTCTGATTTTCTTCTTTTTAGTTTGATTGAAGGTTCTTTTCTTTGATTATTTATGTATACCAGTTTTAAAGTATTTGAAAAGGCTACTTTGTTTTTATTGGTTCTATGGTTGATTTGATTATTTTATAGGACTATCTCAAGAACTGTGAGAGGACAGAGTGTATATGAAATATATTAAGACTGCACAGTAATTGGACAAATTTAATAATGAATTTTACCAGTCTAAGAATCAAAGAATGAAATAAAGTAAGAAATAACTAATTTACTATATTTAAGATTTTACCATTTCTGTAGATTTTTGAAATTATTTACATCTGAATTTTCTTCTGAAATGGATACATTGTATCTAAATTCTCACAAGATAACTGGAAATTTAGTGTGCAAACCTGATGATGTATTTAGAGAGGAGAAAAAATTGGTTAACGTAGCCTGTAATAACAATCCCAAGTTTTAGCAGCTCTATTAAAATCTGGCTTTGTCACAAATTAGTCTAGGAAATTGATAAAACTCTGATTTTTCTCATGCTGTTCTTGTAACTAACTCCTAGATGTTCTGAGGTGTGTCGACACATTAAGACGAAATGTCTGCATCTGAAGAGCCCCAGTTACATCAGAGAGTCACGTGCTGAAAAGAGCAGGATGGTTTTCTGACCTATAGCCAAAGCATGCACTAAAAACCACAGGAAAGCTCCCCTCTCTACTCTCTACCCCAAGAAGAATTGACTCTCACACCTGACTCCACACAGAAATGCACACTGAGATCATACAGTCTGTGCTTTGAACAATCACAAGCTGAAATGCGATTCTTCACGAAACACAACTGACCTCGTCGGGGCTGGAGGCCTGGTAGGTGCGGTTCTCATCACTCAAGTCCTGGTCAGCTTCAGCAAACTCTGTCTCCCCGCCAACGCTGGCCCGAGGCTCATACACGGGGGTCACGTTGTGACACAGTGCAATAGCTTTCACTGCCTCATGGATTCGACTGCTGACACTTTTTCTAACTTTGGGGGCTGAAGATTGGGCTTTTCTGGGTAGAGTTGAACTGGCGGTGTTTCCACTAGCTTGAGAATGCATCTTTAAGATATGGAAAAGATAAAGCACAGAGAACTATGTAGTTGACACTGAAATTATTAACATATTATTCTTATGTGCTAAGTAGTTAGGGATAAGAAAAGTGGTTTGATTTGATTCTGATTATCTTCTACACAGCACTGATTAATATGAGTTTATTTTTTAATAATAGTACTGCAAGGTGCTTTGGTATTTCCAGGTTGTCAAATATACCAGAATATTTGCTAGAATACCTAAAATCTGACAATTTCACTTCAACCACAACATGAATTTGCTAAGTCCTTAATAATTCCTGTTTATTCATTACTTCTAAAGACAAAGTAAGTTAAAACCACAATGGAATGGTATCCTCACAACAGCTTTCAGTTTTCTTTAAACATTGCTCTAAATAAAGTGCTATGACGCTAAAAGCAGGACAAAATTTTTAAGAGGCTTCCTTTAATGCCATATAGTAATCCGGCTTTCAATGGTCTCTGAACTTAGCCTGCCTAGTTTGGTAGATAATAATCAAATACAACAATAGTTGCATTCAGAGGAAAAAATGATCCCCATGCCGTATTTCAAAATCACGTTCCCTTGAAGCCACTGCCCCATTCAGCACTGACGTGCGTGTCTGGCTCTCATCAGACTCAGCTGCATTCGAGAAAATTCATTTGCCCTATTGACACAGTCGCCTTTTTATTATTCATCGCTTACTTGGGGGAAGGTGTCAGAGAACACTCCCCTGACCCCGACAGGACTGTGAACCATTCTTCAGTTAACTTCAGAGGAACTAACGACAATCCTCCTTAAAAACCAGGGCTCGCGTGCTTGGGCTGCGTGTGTGGAGCCACTGAACCGTGAACCTTCTGCCCGTCAGCTCACAGTGCCGTCTAAGGAAGGGCTTAGCTCTCCTGCCCGCTGGCAGTGCCTCTCAGCCAGCAGGGCCACATGTGCAGCCTGCTCACTCTCTGCCGCTGCAGCCCCAGACACACAGCTGGCCGCCTCCTTGTGAACTATGTCATGTTTATTGATGCTTGTGTAATTTAATTTCACACAAATTCTATTAAAGATTATGCCCCCTATCACCAAATGCTTCCAGTGGGGAAGCACAATCAGGTTATAAAAGATTTGTTACATTACAGCGGACCTACTAGACTCCTGCCATCTTAATAATAAAACAGAATACAAACAAGGAATAATATCAATTTCACATAAAAAGTACCACCTAACCAGCTGACAGCTTTCAATAAAAATGATTTTTAAAAAGTCCTCTTAGATGGAAATAAATATTCGATATTTGTTGCTTTTATATAATGATTCTTTATCTTTTCTACTTTTAATTTTATTCTAGTAAAACAAGTTATTTGTAGCTATTAAAGTTACATTCATGGATAATATAATTTTTTTTTAAAAAAACAGATATTACCTGGTACTATTTCAATATGCACATAGATTCCCAGGAGAAAGGAAGTTTTATCCCTTCTCCATTTTAGATTTTTCCTTCTATTAATAAATATTCCATGTTACAAAATGCTCCATTTAAATGAATTATGTCCAAATTAATAAGGTGCTTGGTTTTCTGTGTATGTGCATGTATGCTTATGTGTGTGTATAAACACTGCAAATAATAAATATGAGGTATCCTCAAAATGTTCATGGAAAATGCATTTTATGAAAAAACTATGCAAGGATTGAATTTTTTGTGTGTCAACATAAACTCATACTAACTTGTTATAACATGTCTGAACGGGATCTAGTTTGAAGCACTAAGAAGGATGAGACATCAGTTTGAAAAAAGCCCCTATCAGAAAAACATAAATTCTGCTAAAATTGAAGCAAGAACAAACATTGAACTTATGGTGAAGTTTGGGTGGAAGAATTGTGAAATTATTGATGCTTTACAGAAAATTTATGGGCACAATGCCCCAAAGAAATCAGCAGTTTACAAATGAATAACTCATTTTTGGAAGGGACAAGACAATGCTGAAGATGAAGCCTGCAGCAGCAGACTATCCACATAATTTGTGAGGAAAAAATTAATCTTGTTTGTTCCCTGATTAAGAGGACTGATGATTAACAGCAGAAACAATAGCCAACACCATAGACATCTCCACTGGTTCAGCTTACACAATCCTGACTGAAAAATTACAGTTGAGCAAACTTTCCACTCAATGGGGGCCTAAACTCTTGCACCCAGATCAGCTGCAGACAAGAGCAGAGCTTTCAACGGAAATTCTCAATAAGTGGGATCGAGATCCTAATGCATTTCTTGGGAGAACTGTAGCAGGAGATGAAACATGGCTTTACCAGTATAATCCCAAAGACAAAGCACAATCAAACACTTGGCTACCAAGAGGTGGAAGTGGTCTGGTCCAAGCAAAAGCAGACCAAGAGCAAAGGTCCTGGGAACAGTTTTTTGGGATGCTCAGGGCATTCTGCTTGTTGACTTTCTGGAGGGCCAAAGAATGATAACATCTGCTTACTAGGAGAGTGTATGGAGAAAGTTAGCCATATCTTTAGCTGAAAGGTACCTGGGAAAGCTTCACCAGAGAGTCCTTCTCCAACAGGACAACATTCCTACTCATTCATCTCATCAAACAAGGGAAATTTTGTGAGAGTTTCGATGGGATATCATTAAGTATCCACATTATGGTCCTGATTGGCTCCTTCTGACTTCTTTTTGTTTACTAATCTTAAAAAAATCTTTAAAGGATACCCCCCCCCTTTTTTAAGTTAATAATGTAAAAAAGATGGCATTGACATGGTTAAATTCTTTGGACCTCACTTCTTTAGGGATGGACTAAATGGCTGGTATCATTATTGCTTACAAAAGTGTCTTGATGAAGCTTATGTTGAGAAAAAAGTTTATTATTATTTTTATCTTTTTTTTTTTTTTCCTTTTTTGTCTTTTTTACTGACCGGTAACGGGATCGCAACCCTTGGTGTTGCACCGCACCGTGCTCAGCCAGTGAGCGGGAACCAGTCTCCACATGGGATCTGAACCCTCGGCGGGAGCGCCACCGTGCTCCCAAGCGGCGCACTCTCCAGTGCGCCACCGGGCTGGCCCTATTTTTATCTTTTAATTCCATTTTTTCACAAACTTCTTGAATCTCCCCCATATACACAGGCACTTCAAAAAGTTTGTGGGGAAATAGAATTAAAAGATAATACAAATCTCCCCACAAACTTTCTGACATGTCCTCATATAAGATTTTTCTCATTTGACAGCATGTCAAAAGTAAAGTATATATCAGACTGGTAACAGTTATAGAAGAAAGAGAAAGTTTTCAGAAAACTGAATACAATGTTGACAACTGAATTCTGCTCTTGAACTCTCTCAAGAGTAGAAAAACTGCAAAGGGAAAGTGTAACAACTTATTCCAGTATACCCAAAATCAAGTCTGAAACAAACTACTATAAATACAAAAAGTTGACTAGATTCTGCAGCTAAAGTTGCCTAGCCCTCTGAGCATCTAGAGGCACCCATGCCACCCAGGGGGAGCTCTACCTACCCAGTGTGATCTCTAACTAACCAGGGTGAGCTCTAACCAACCAGGGAGAACTCTAACTACCCAGGTGAGCTCTAACGAGCCAGGCAAGCTCTACCTACCCAGTGTGAGCTCTAAGTAACCAGAGTGAGCTCTAATGAGCCTGGGTGGACTCCACCAGCCAGGGTGAGCTCTAGCTACCCAGGGCGAGCTCTACCTCCCCAGTGTGAACTCTGCCTACCCAGGTGAGCTGTAACCAGTCAGGGTGAGCTAGTCACACTCTTGAACCCAAGAGGTCTTGGCTCTTTGTATGTAGAGTACTATATTCAAACTAAATCAACAAACATGCAGAGAAAAAGTCCAAGTGATCACACCTGAAACAGACTGCAATCTTGTACACTGGCATTTTAAATAGATTCCCTTGGACTGCTCAATTTGATTATACTGAATCATCATTTCCAAATTATGACAGGTAAGAATAAATCCAAGTGAATGAAATACAAACGCTACTTGAGGCCAGGGCTCTGATCTAAACGTAGTCTGCGAATACACCATGGCCCTCACGAGTCTAAGGTCAGGAGCGGGGTAGGCTAAAACCATTCAGGGCAGAGGCTGACTGCACAGAGCTCACTGTCTACAGAACCTCTGGCAAAAGCGTAACTTCTAGACTGCAGCCTCACGTCAAAGGAAATAACTCCTGTCCTTACAGCCTCACTCAGGCCATGTGAGGCACCGATGAGAAAGACAAGATTCAGGTAACACTGAAAAAAAGAAGAGTCCTTTCCTGTCAGACACATGATACATATTTACAGATGAAATGCTCTGATGTCTGAGCACCACTTAAAACAACATGGTGAGGGAGGACGGCTGTAGGTGAAACAAAATCAGCTGTGCACCCATCTCTGCTGAAGTCGAGTGACAGGTGTGGGATGGCTCAGACTATGGTGGTGTCCACTTCTGTTTATTCAAAAGATAAAAAAAAAAAAAAAAAAAACCTTTAAAAAAAATGAAAAAATTTTATTAATTATGGAGAAAAACAGAGGGATTGTTAGGAAACATACTGACTCAGTATTCTACTGAGTATTCATCAAAATATTGTATTTACTGAATAAATTTATGCAAATAATTCACTAAGAAAATTTCAGCTCATTATGCCTTCTTTGATTACACTAATTCAGAACCGACTGCTTATTTTGAATTATATCCATGTAGAAATGCTTATTGAGAAGCTGTTTCTTGATTCATGTATTAGAACTGATGACTGAAATAACAATGTTACCTTTAAAAAATATGAGAAAATTTTATTAATTATGGAGAAAAACAGAGGGATTGTTAGGAAACATACTGACTCAGTATTCTACTGAGTATTCATCAAAATATTGTATTTACTGAATAAATTTATGCAAATAATTCACTAAGAAAATTTCAGCTCATTATGCCTTCTTTGATTACACTAATTCAGAACCGACTGCTTATTTTGAATTATATCCATGTAGAAATGCTTATTGAGAAGCTGTTTCTTGATTCATGTATTAGAACTGATGACTGAAATAACAATGTTAGACAATCAAAGAAGTTTGCAAATTTACAGATTAGCATACAATAGGCTCATTTTAACTCAACAGTATTGGATACTTTCAAAAGACAATCACATTCAGAAGTAAATCCACTTACCTGTGAATAAGAATTTATGATATGGCTTTGGATTTCATCCATGGTGTCTGTTCCATAGGACACAGTGCCCAGATGGAGCCGCTTAAATATCATTTCATTCTGGGTGAGGGTTCCTGTCAGAAGAGTGCCAACATGCACGTCAGTACAGGCAGCTTCTGCAGGCGCACCTCCATGTCACGCACACCTCAGGCTCACACCCATGACTATGCCTCGTGCAGGCTCACCTCCCACGTCACACATGCCTCACGCTCTCATACCTGTGCGTGTGCAGCTAGGACACACTACTGTGTGATACAAAGTTCCTGAACAATATTATTTGCTACTATTTTAATTTTAATACTGAGGACAAGAAGTGTTTTTCCTATCAGGTCAAGTTCCCTTTTTAACAACTTTTAATAAAGGGAAGGACTCTAGTTACATTAAGAAAGTCTAGTCTCTGACTTTCAGCTCTGATGTGTTGTTACAAATGTAATTTTTGCCTGTTTTGAGAGAGGGGCATAAAACTAGAAAATCAAGTCACCATCTTCATAATTACAATGTAGCACACTGCCTAAGAAAGAAATCAACTAGTCCCAATTAGGGTGTTTATCAGTTTTTAAAAAAACTATTTTGAGAAATTAAGTATTTTTAGTTACACAAATGATATTCCTGATGCGTTTAACCCTTAGCATACAAGTGCATCACTTGGAATGACAGACAGGAGCTTGTAAAAGAAAAGGCAGTACTCGGCTCTCCGAGTGTGCTTGTGTAATGGTTGCCCCTCAGCAGTCCAAGGCAGAAGGACGGAAGAGGTTGCTCATCAGGACCGTCAGTAAAGTTGGGTCACAAATTGAGTGGGATATATATCTTACTTAATATTAAAAAAACAAAACACATATACCACATGCATACAGTTTTTGCTACTCTGGTTTTCACAGAAGCAAAGCAACATAGGAAGTTAAACACCCAAAGAACATGCATGGAAGAACATGCACGGAATGTGCTGCGATAAGTGTGCTTTTTTCTGTCTCCCCTCGGGGTCTTCTGCATCTACTTCAAAGCACATATAAGAAAGGTTATTCACGTACACTAACATAGTGATAATGTGAAGATGAACAATGATACAGCCAGTCAACTGCAATAAAAGATAAACCTTTCATGTGGCTACAAAACACCAATAAAACATGAACTGATTTTTGTTTTCTTTCACGCATGACATTGAAAATATAATAAAAGGTGTGTGTATTCATATCCACCTATGATTCCCACATAAATTAGTTAGGATTCGTACTCAGAGCACACTGGATCATCTGACTCAGAGCCTCCCACCAGGACAAGAGCTGACTTTAAAATAAAGGGGAAACCTGGATTCAAGATGGTGACGGGTCTGCAGCGGGGGTGCCAGAAGACAGCGTGAGCCTGAGAAGTGTGCGCTGTGCTGCCAGAGTACTATTTGCATTTCCAAGAGCAACAAAAAATGAATAAATCGTTGATCAACTAATCTACAACAATAAAAAAGCAACTACAGATTCGAGGTTTTAGGGCCGACACCAAAGAAGATTCCGGAGACCACCTGAGCCGCGCCACGGGACCGAGTGAGCAGCCCGAGGCAACAAAGGCCAAGGAATGCGGTGGCGACGACGTGGAAACGGAGAGGAAGACGCCTGACTGACCCAGCTCTGTGAGTGACCCCCAGCCCGGCTCTGCTTGCGGGGCAGACGCCCGTCCGATTTCCGCCTACCACACCAGGCTAGGCACCAGCACCAGCACTGCCTCCATTTTCTTGGGTGGGGGCGGAGCCGGCCAGCTCGGCCTGGCCTGCCCTTCGCACTTGGCCCGGCTCTTCACTGAGCCTTGCCACTTGCATGCCTTGGCGCGGGGCCTCCCGGGGCCTGCGGACTGGCCTCTAATCCCACTCCCCCCACGGATCTCTGGCGGGGCTGGTGGCGTGGGGAGCCCCCGGCCAGCGTTGGGAGGGCAGGGAAGAGGAGGCCAGCCCGACTGTCACTCCACCGCACCCTGGGCTCTGGCCCCAGGTAAACTTCTTGTTTCCGGGAGGCAGATACCATCTCTGTGGCCATCAGTTCAGAAGAACCCCAAGCTGATTTCGGGTTCGGAGAGGTGTGGCCGGAGCGCTCCCGAGCTCGCTTGAAGCTGCCAGAGTGCTGACTGCAGGCAGGCGCTGGAGTAGGCCCACGCCGGGGAGATTCAAAGAGGACCTGTGTGCTGTGGGATCCTCTCCCGAGGAGCTCACGCCCTGGTGTGGGAGATAACTCAACTACACAAATAACCGCAATACCAGGAAGAAGGTGAGAAGCCCAGAGAAAGTCCTATCCAGGGCCACAAAAGCACCCAGAGCGACCCTAGCAGAAACCTGAAAGTCTTCCTGGGCGGGGTGGGGCCGAGCAGGGGCTTGAAGTCCCGGCTGATAGACGAGGATTGCAGAAGACACGCCCCAACCTTGTACTGAGCGCACAGAGTGGGGAGGGATCCAGCAAAGGAGGTGGAGACTCAGCAAAAAGCACACACCCTGTGGGCCGCCTCTGCAAGGTCCAACAGTCCCACCTAGCGCACACAGAGTGGGGAAAAGCCCGAATAGGGAGGCGGAGAATCGGCATAAAACACATACCCTGTGGGGCCGCCACTGTATAATCCAGGAGCCAGGGCCAGAGCGCACGGAACAGAGAGAAGTTCTACACGGGAAATGGAAACTCAAAAGACACCACACACCCTGTGGTACCGTCCCGAGATCTAGCAGCCCAGTAGAGTCCAAGCTGACCACAGAGGAGGTTTCCCGGAGAGGCCCAAGACCCGAGACAAACACACACACAAGACACTAGAGGCCAACTGAGCAGTCACAGAGGTAGCCATACCAAATTGAAAAACACAGCCATACCTTAGTTAGCCAATAGGGTCAAACCTGTGCACAGTGAAACCCCCTGCCCAAATGAATAAACATCCAAAAAAAGATACCAGAAACACAAAAAACCAAGAAAGTACACCACC